AGCTCTATTTTCAACTTTTTGAGGAACCTCCATACTGTTTTCCAGAGGGGTTGCACCAGCTTGCATTCCCACCAACAGTGTAGGAGGGTTCCCCTTTCTCCGCATCCCCACCAACATCTGTCATTTCCTGACTTGTTAATTTTACCCTTCTGACTGGTGTGAGGTGGTATCTCATTAAGGTTTTGATTTGGATTTCCCTGATGCCGAGCGATGTTGAGCACTTTTTCATGTGTCTGTTGGCCATTTGGATGTCTTCTTTGAAAAAATGTCTCTTCATGCCTTCTGCCCATTTCTTGATTGGATTATTTGTTCTTTGGGTGTTGAGTTTGATAAGTTCTTTATAGATTTTGGATATTAGCCCTTTATCTGATAAGTGATTTGCTAATATTTTCTCCCATTCTGTCGGTTGTCTTTTGGTTTTGTGGACTGTTTCTTTTGCTGTGCAAAAGCTTTTTATCTTGATGAAGTCCCAATAGTTCATTTTTGCCCTTGCTTCCCTTGCCTTTGGCAATGTTTCTAGGAAGATATTGCTGTGGTTGAGGTCAAAGAGATTGCTACCTGTGTTCTCCTTTAGGATTTTGGTGGACTCCTGTCTCATATTTAGCTCTTTCAACCATTTTGAGTCTATTTTTGTGTGTGGTATAAGGAAATGGTCCAGTTTCAGTCTTCTACATGTGGCTGTCCAATATTCCCAACACCATTTGTTGAAGACACAGTATTTTTTCCATTGGACATTCTTTCCTGCTTTGTCAAAGATTAGTTGACCATAGAGTTGAGGGTCCATTTCTGGACTCTCTGTTCTGTTCCATTGATCTATGTGTCTGTTTTTATGCCAGTACCATACTGTCTTGATGATGACAGCTTTGTAATAGAGCTGGAAGTCCGGAATTGTGATGCTATCAGCTTTGCTTTTCTTTTTCAATATTCCTCTGGCTATTCGGGGTCTCTTCTGGTTCCATACAAATTTTAGGATTATTTGTTCCATTTCTTTGAAAAAAGTGGATGGTATTTTGATGGGGATTGCATTGAATGTGTAGATTGCTCTAGGTAGCATTGACATCTTCACAATATTTGTTCTTCCAATCCATGAGCATGGAACATTTTTCCATTTGTGTCTTCCTCAATTTCTTTCTTGAGTATTTTATAGTTTTCTGAGTACAGATCCTTTGCCTCTTTGGTTAGATTTATTCCTAGGTATCTTAAGGTTTTGGGTGCAATTGTAAATGGGATCGACTCCTTAATTTCTCTCTCTTCTGTCTTGTTGTTGGTATAATGGAATGCCACTGATTTCTGTGCATTGATTTTATATCCTGCCACTTGACTGAATTCCTGTAGCGTTCTAGCAGTTTTGGGGTGGAGTCTTGAGGTATGTGCCCTCTATCCCTATACTCTGAAGAGTTTTGATCAAGAAAGGATGCTGTACTTTGTCAAATGCTTTTTCTGCATCTATTGAGAGGATCACATGATTCTTGTTCTTTCTTTTGTTAATGTATTGTATCACGCTGATTTATTTGCAGATGTTGAACCAAACTGGCAGCCCAGGGATAAATCCCACTTGGTTGTGGTGAATAATCCTTTTAATGTACTGTTGGATCCTATTGGCTAGTATTTTGGTGAAAATTTTTGCATCCATGTTCATCAAGGATATTGGTCTGTAATTCTCCTTTTTAATGGGGTCTTAGTCTGGTTTGGGGATCAAAGTAATGGTGGCCTCATAAACGAGTTTGGAAGTTTTCCTTCCATTTCTATTTTTTGGAACAGTTTCAGGAGAATAGGTATTAATTCTTCTTGAAATGTTTGGTAGAATTCCCCTGGGAAGCCATCTGGCTCTGGGCTTTTGTTTATTGGGAGATTTTTGATGACTGCTTCAATTTCGTTAGTGGTTATAGGTCTGTTCAGGTTTTCTGTTTCTTCCTGGTTCAGTTTTGGTAGTTGATACATCTCTAGGAATGCACCCATTTCTTCCAGGTTATCTAATTTGCTGGCATAGAGTTGCTCATAATATGTTCTTATATTTGTTTGTATTTCTTTGGTGTTGGTTGTGATCTCTCCTCTTTCATTCATGATTTTGTTGATTTGGGTCATTTCTCTTTTCTTTTTGATAAATCTGGCCAGGGGTTTATCAATCTTGTTAATTCTTTCAGAGAAGCAGCTCCTAGGTTCGTTGATCTGTTCTACTCTTCTTTTGGTTTCTAGTTCATTGATTTCTGCTCTGATCTTTATTATTTCTCTTCTCCTGCTGGGTTTAGGCTTTATTTGATGTTTTTTCTCCAGCTCCTTTAGGTGTAGGGTTAGGTTGTTTATTTGAGACCTTTCTTGTTTCTTGAGAAAGGCTTGTATTGCTCTATACTTTCCTCTTAGGACTGCCTTTGCTGCTTCCCAAAGATTTTGAACAGTTGTGTTTTCATTTTCATTGGTTTCCATGAATTTTTTTAATTCTTCTTTAATTTCCTGGTTGACCCATTCATTCTTTAGTAGGATGCTCTTTAGCCTCCATGTATTTGAGTTCTGTCTGACTTTCCTCTTGTGATTGAGTTCTAGTTTCAAAGCATTGTGGTCTGAAAATATGCAGGGAATGATCCCAATCTTTTGGTACCGATTGAGACCTGATTTGTGACCTAGGATGTGATCTATTCTGGAGAATGTTCCATGGGCACTAGAGAAGAATGTGTATTCCGTTGCTTTGGGATATAACGTTCTGAATATGTCTGTGAAGTCCATTGAGTCCAGTGTGTCATTTAAAGTCTTTATTTCCGGGGTGCCTGGGTGGCTGAGTGGGTTGGGCGACTGCTTTAGGCTCAGGTCATGATCCTGGAGTCCCAGGATTGAGTCCCGCATCAGGCTCCCTGCTCAGCAGGGAGTCTGCTTCTCCTTCTGACCCTCCGCCCTCTCATGTGCTCTCTCTCTCTCATTCTCTCTCTCAAATAAATAAATAAAATCTTAAAAAAAATAAAGTATTTCCTTGTTGATCTTTTGCTTAGATGATCTGTCCATTTCAGTGAGGGGGATGTTAAAGTCTCCCACTATTATTGTATTGTTGTCAATGTGTTTCTTTGCTTTTGTTATTAATTTCCTTATATAATTGTCTGCTTCCATGTTAGGGGCATAGATATTTATAATTGTTAGATCTTCTTGTTGGATAGACCCTTTAAGTAGGATATAGTGTCCTTCCTCATCTCTTATTACAGTCTTTGGTTTAAAATCTAATTTGTCTGATATAAGGATTGCCACCCCATGGCTCCAACTTTAAAAAAAAAAGATGAAAATAATACATTAATGGTGGATTTTTTTTTATGAAACTGAATTTCATGACTTTCATATGAAAATATGTTTTTATACAATTTTTAAAAAAATTCTAGTGATTAGTTAGACCTCAAAATCTGGAAACCATTGGACTAGCTTATTCCAGTAGTCTCTTTCAGTATTAATGTTCTTTGATCTTATTGTTTATTCTTTCTTCCTACATCCCAAGAGAAAGGAAATGTCAAAAAGAATGTCTAAGAATCAAAGAGCTTAAGGGAACTTAATTGTTGTATCAATCAGGATAGAATCGGTGATGCCACAATAACAAAAAACTTGAATTCTCAGTGTCTTAACAATAGCCAAGTTTATTTCTCATGTTTACCTTAGATCAAGGAGACTCTTCATATTAGTCCCTTTATGATCTGTCACTGAAACTTCATTTCAATACATGCTAACAATCACAGAGGCCCCAGAGTAAAACATATTACTTCTGCTTTTATTTCATTACCAAAGCAAATGACATGGATATTCCCAAATTGAACAGGACAACATGTATATTTCACCTGCAGGGAGGAGCACTGAATATTTATGAATAATAATACGTTCTGTGGGTGTGAGATCAGGAATAAAAACTGTAACAGACAGGGGTGCCTGGGTGGTTTAGTTGGTTAAGCAGCTGACTCTTGATTTTGGCTCAGGTCATAATCTGAGGGTCCTGAGATCAAGCACCATGTCAGGCTCTGCACTGAGTGTGAAGCCTGCTTAAGATTCTCTCTCTCCCTCTCACTCTGCCTTTCATGCTCATGCTCTCTCTCCAAAACAAACAAACAAAACCCACATTGTAACAGAGAAATACTAATTTTGTTTAGTGTAAAAATTTGAAAAACAGGAAATATGAGATGAATACTTACGACTTTTGCAATTTTCTAAATATTAATATTAGCTAAACAGAAATTTCCAAATTCTAAAATATCTTCACATTAGAGTATTTGATTTTCTTTACAACTCAGTGGTGGAGACTGATAAGCCTGAGTAGTGGCTAGGAACTCACTATAGAGTTAAACTGCTTGGTTTTGAATTTCAGTCTCAGCAATTACTGAAATTTGACCGTGGACAAATGACCTTACTTAATGTGCTTCAGTTCCCTTCTTTTAAAACTGGGTATAATCATAGTTCTATCTTGTATTTATGTTTATGTGATGAATCAAAGTGATAATACACTGAAATGACACATAGTAACACTCAATTCATATTCTTAGCTGTTTTAGTTATTTTTGTATTTTTATCATATTTATCAATAATACTATTACCCCCCATTTTCCAACTGAGACCTAAATGCAATCTACAGTCTTGGGTTTCTCTAACGTTCACATAGTAGATGGCAAAGCTCAGATTCAAAATTAGATTTTTGGTAGAGGCTTGTTTACATCCTAGTCACACTTATTTAATTTGACACAATCATTTTAATCTATGTCTTTAAGGTTATTTTATCAAAAAAATTATTTGCAGATTGCTATAGATAGTTCAGGAGAAAAAAAGATGAATTGAGATTGGGAGAGGATACTGAGAAAGAGAAAGGAAGAAAGCAAAGAGAAAGAAAGCAAACAACCAAGGTCCAGTGTAATTAGGAGAGGTGGTGGGGCAGCAAACTGAGCAGAGAGAAGACAGTGGTTTGTTAAGGAATCAGGAGTGATAGTGGCCAATCAAGAATCATTGTAGAGCTCACATGAGACTTTTTTTTTTTTTTTACAAATTAGGTTCAGAGAATTAGACTATAACAGGACTATAAAGTCCTAAATTCAGCATTTTTTTTCCTCACTGAAGAGAAACAAAACAAGAACTGTGTGATTTTTGTTATTTTATAATTGAAAAGACTGATGTGGATTTGAGTTTGCTGATTTAAAGAAATGATGTGGTAAGTTATTTTAATGTTTTATGAATATCATGTAGTCCCTACCCCCCACTTTTTGTCTTGAAATAAATGGTTTCTTTCATATGATTTGATATTGTTCAGAGTTTTACAATCTATTCTAGGTTTCTTGACAACTCAAGTTTCAGGTTCCAGTGGCACAAAATGTACTATTTATGCTCTTTGGGTTTGAAGTGTGTCTGAGCTGTGGCTCAAAATGTTTCTCTCATTTAAGAAATTTGGTAGGCAAACTTGATTATATTTGCCTCTTTTCTCTAACCTTCACATGTGATTCATTATCTTGAGCTCAGTTTCATTTTCCTGTTTTTCTTTTCTTTTTTTTTGGTGGGGATAGAGAGCTTATGGGAGACAGTTTTGAGAAATTTGTACATGATTCAATGTAAAATTTAGAGGAATTACACTTTTTTCAGTAAGACAAACCACTAACTTGATCAAATACTGTAGTAATAATACTACCTGAAGCGCTAGAATATTGAAAAGTATGAAAATAGAAAAAAAAAACAGTTGGAGATAAATAAAAGTGACAAAATAAGCGTAGATGTGACATTTAAGGGATTTCCATTGAAATGCTTAATGATACTTTAATTAAAAAACGTGTTAAAAGATATTTAACTATGAGGTATCTAGGCTAATAACTATAAATGGTAAGAGTAGATGACTTGTTTCTTCTTGGTTAATGTTAATTTATTTACATGTTAAGAAATATACTACTATCTGCCTGAGAGGTGAGGCTGCTTTGGATAGGGGGAAAGAACATTGTCATAGCTAATACTTATATAGGTAACTGACATTTATATAAGTAGGAAGAAAGCTATACAAATAGGTACTAGTTTTTTTTACTACTACTTTTTACCTAGCATTTTAATAGAGCTTCTTTATTCTATTTATGACGTGGTATGATTTCAGTAGAATTTAAGCTGAATCACTAAATTTATGGTATTTCATGTATTAAGAGAAATCCTGGATTTATTCTAGAGCCTTTCCCCTATGATATCATTTATATTGTGGACATTAAATAAAATAACAAATATCTCAATAGTGATTGAGGAAAAGAATACTTGAGAACATCAGAAACTAGCAAACTTATGGAGAAGTCTAAGTTAATAGTATTTTTTTCTTCTTAACATTGTATATGTTTTATTGGCACTTCAAATATAAATACTTCTTAAGGAGGATTGCTTTTTACCAAATGTCCTAGTTCATATTTTTAAGGAACTCCCAATACATCTCATTTGACATGTTGTAGTAGCCCTTAAAGCTTTAAAATAGAAGGAAATTTCCTCTTTGTAAGATAATCCAAGCAATATGAGATGTGGACAATAGAGCACTGATATTAGTATTAATAACTGTGAATATCTTCTCTGAGGAGAACAATTTTAGGAAATCCATAATGGGAAGTAAACATAACAACTATTTCAAGTTCTTATTTTTTGTTTTGTTATTTTTAAAAAATATTTATTTATTTGAGAGAAAGAGAGCTCGAGCTGGGGGAGGGACTGAGGGAGAGGGAGAATCAAGCTCCCCACTGAACAGGGAGCCCGATGACCTGAACTGAAGGCAAATGCTTAACTGACTGAGCCACCCAGGTGCCCCTTTTTTGTTTTGTTATTGATATCAAAGATGTCAAGGATTTGTTTGCAGATTTTACTTCACAAGATATAAATATGCTTTAGTTGTTGGTGTTTTTTTTAAGGATTTTATTTATTTATTTGACAGAGAGAAAGAGTGAGTACAGGCAAGGAGAGCAGCAGGCAGAGGCAGAGGGAGAAGCATTCTCCCCGCTGAGGGGGGAGCCCAATGTGGGACTTGATCCCAGGACCCTGAGATCATGACCTGAGCTGAAGGCAGAAGCTTAACCGACTGAGCCACCCAGGCGCCCTGCTTTGGTTGTTTTAATGCCTCTGCTATGGAGTTTATAGCTCTTTAGATTGATTGAGATGAAAATTAAGATTAAATGAGAAAATCTATGACAATGACTGACCCTTGATAGAAGATTATTGTATAATGTATACATCCACCTATGCTGTGATGCTAGTAAGATTTCTCAGCTTATGTCTGCAAGTTATCCATTATTTTAATAGCATCCTAAAATACATGTGAAACACTATTAAAAACATTTCAGAGTTAATTGATGCAGTGATGAGAAGTTATTTCAAAATCAACAGGTGATCTCCTAGAAGCTCTAAAGAGGTTAAAACAAAAAAAAGAGGAGAAGAAAAAAAAAGTGTGGAAAAAAGAGCAGATGGAAAACATTGCTAGTTCCTTCTTATCACTATCTATTCCTGTGGCGGGGGGAGCAGAAAGTATTATTAGAATTTGGAAAGAGTGGAATGGAAAGAGAGAATGTCCAAGTGACTATAAATGAAAGTGGAAAGAGAGCATAAGTTTAGAGCAGTTTGAATAGTACCAGCAATAAAAATAAAACAGTAATAACAACATTACAGAGACCAGATATATTGGGTTTTTAATGTATCATGCACTGGGGTAACAGCTTTATTGGTGTTAATTCACTCAATCATTATGACAACATTATGAGGTACATAGTCCTTTTTCTAGTTCATAAACTTAAAAGAGATTATTTAAAAAAAAAAAGATTATTTTCCAGGGTCACACAGATAATAAATGACAAGATCAGGATTTGAACTGTAGTTTATCTAACTCCTAAGGTCATTTTCTTAACATTTGGAAGCTTAAGTACAAAGTTCAAACCATGCTCTTATCTAATTCTTAACTCTTTATCACCATCAGCCTTATATCATCCACTGTCTAGTCAGCCTTCATCTCTTTTTTCTCATTTGAATATTCATCTACATCCAGTTAGTCTCTTGTCCTCCTTGCAAATTTTCCTTCCTATTTGTTTTTGAAAACCTTTCTCTGGTGCCTGGGTGGCTCAGTTGGTTAAGCATCTGCCTTAGGCTCAGGTCATGATCCCAAGGTCCTGGGATTGAGCCCCGTGTCAGGCTCCCTGCTCAGCGGGGAGTCTGCTTTTCCCTCTGCCCCTTCCCCCTGCTCCTGTGCACTCCCTCTCTCTCTCTGGCTTTCTCTCTTGCTTCCGCTCTCTGCCTGAAATAAATAAATAAAATCTTTTTTTTAAAAAAGAGGTCAAAGGAAACTGGGGAAATTAATGTTAATAAATTTTATTTAGCCTAATGCATCACAAAATATTATTTCATATTATAAATGACATAAAATTAATTTTTACATTAATTTTTAATACTAATTCTTCACAATTTGGAGTATATTTTACACTTATAGCACATCTGTGTTCAGACTAATATTTCAGGATCTCAGTCACTAAATATTGCCTGTGGCTACCGTATTGGACATTACACCTCTAGAACTCTATGATGAATATTGGTGTGTAATACAGAGAATGTTAATTTGTTGTAGGACCTGTTATCAAATCACTGGCTCTATTTACCATATGAACCTGGACAATTTATTCAGTTTGTCTGGCTTTAGTTCCTTCATGTGTACAAAGGTTTTACAAAGATTAGATTGTATCACATAATTTCTGACAGTGTTTGTTTACTTTGAAAAATCATTGAAGACATAACCCAAGTTATGCCAGTGTCTTGTACAGTGCCTGGAATTTAGAGTCTTTTTTTTTTAGACTTCATTTATTTATTTTGACAGAGAGAGAGAGAGAGAGAGTACAAGCAGGGGGAGGGGCAAAAGTAGAGGGAGAAGCTGGCTCCCTGCTGAGGAAGGAGCCCAATGTGGGACTTGATCCCAGGACCCTGGGATCATGACAAAGGCAGACGCTTAACGACTGAGCCACCCAGGTGTCCCTGGAATTTAGAGTCTTATGTTACAACAATTTATTGATCACATAAGCCATTATGCTTTTTGTTTTGCTAGTGCCTAAGAATATTAGGAAGTCTACTTTTAAGAAGTTTGGTACAGAATGATGAACATGTAAATCCTTAGTTATTTGCAATATATTTACAATATAAATCAAATACAGCTTAATAATGTCATATAAGTTAAAAAGCTCTCAGAGGAATTATTAACTATGCCTGGGAATATCAGGATAAGCTTTGAAAGATGTTGCTTCAACTGCATCTGGAAGGAAGAATAGTTACTAAGTCCACAAGGATGTTGGAAGGTGATCCTAGAAAGACGGAAAATACTTGGAAAATCATGGAGCAATGAAATTGCTTGTGAAATATGAGGGAATTTTAGTTTGGCAATGGGTAAGTGTTAGGGCCTGTACGTTTGTATCTCCTTTCCCCAAAAATTTACATGTTGAAACCCTAACTCCCAGTGCAATGGTATAAGGCTGTGGGGTCTTTGAGAAGTAATTGGGTTTAGATGAAGTCATGAGAGTGGAACCCCATGATGGATCAGTTTCCTTATAAGAAGAGAAAAAGACGGGAGCTCTCTCTGTTCTCCACCATATAAAGATAAGAAAAAAATGGCTATCTGTGAACCTGGAAGGGGGCTCTCACCAGACACTGGAACTGCCAACATTTTGATTTCAGGCTTCCCAGCCTCCAGATCTATGACAAATAAATATTTGTTGTTTAAGCCACCCAGTCTATGATGATCTTGTTTTAACAACTTGAACTGACTAAGAAAGTAGGACAAATTGTGTTTACGTGGTGGGTTAGAAAAAGGACCAAAGGAGAGCATTAGGGTTCATAGAGGAATAGTTAAGGACCAAAGTGTTCTCCATAACCCTTCCCTAAAACTGGTACTTCCTTGTTTTTCCTCATCTTAATGAATGGTATCACCAAATACCTTTCTGTAATTTTTCTCTTTCCCTCATTCTTCAGCTCTAATCTATCCATAAACCTTTTGCCTTTCTATCTCTGAAAGATAGCCTGTCAGTGCCCTTAGTCTGAGCCACTCATCTCTTTCCTAGACCACCAAAAAAGTCTAACTGATTTCCTTACCTCTACTTTTGTCTTCATATAATCCAATTTCTTCATGACAGCAAGAGTGATCTTCTTTTAAAGTATACCAAAGTTTCTTAGCTCTGCTTTTTACAGACTCAAAAGCTCTCTCATTATATTCTACAAGGTCCTACATGATCTGGCCTAATAGACCTCATATCATTTTACCCTTCATTTTATTACACATTGTTTAGCTCCACTGTTGTTTTGTTTTGTTTCTTAATTTTTTTTTTTAATATCACTTGGGTTTTTCCTTTCCGTGGGCTTTTTCTGTTGTACTTTCCTCTAGATTGCTCTCTCATCTTCAAATGACTGGCTCCTTCTAATCCTTCAAATCCTAGCTGAAAATCATTTCCACAGAGAAATCCTCCTGACTATCCAGTTTAAAATATTTTGATGACAAAGTCACTTGCTATTTTATTATGTTAATTCATACTAGTTCTTATTGATATCTTCAATTGTTTTATTATTATTATATTATTTATTCATAGATTTCCTTTTTTTTCTTTATTTTACCAAATTTTTATATAAATTTTAGTTAACATATAGTGCAATATTGGCTTCAGGAGTAGAATTAAGTGGTTTGTCACTTACATACAACCCCCAGTGCTCATCATAAAAAGTGCGCTCCTTTATGCCCATCATCCATCTAGCACATCCCACACCCATCTCCCTCCCTCCACCCTCACTTTGTTCTCTATTGTTAAGAGTCTCTTATAGTTTGTTTCCCTCTCCCCTCTTCCCCCCATATGTTCATCTGTTTTATTTCTTTTTTAAAAATTTTATTATTTTTAAAGATTTTATTTATTTGAGAGAGAGAGAGAGTGCAGATCGAGAGAAAGAGCGTGAACCCAAGTGAGTGGCAGAGGGAGAGGGACAAGCGGACTTCCCGCTGAGCAGGGAACCCCCCCCCCCCCCCCCGCAAATGCGAGACTCCATCCCGGGCCTGGAATCATGACCTGGACTGAAGGCAGACGCTTAACCGACTGAGCCACCTAGGCACCCCATCTGTTTTATTTCTTAAATTCCAAATATGAGTGAAATCATATGATATTTGTCTTTCTCTGACTGACTTATTTTGCTTGGCATAATAAACTCTAGGTCCATCCATGTTGTTGCAAGTGGCAAGATTTCATTTTTTTTATTTTAAATTCAAATTAGTTAATATATGCTGTAGTATTGGTTTCATGATTAGAATTTAGTGATTCATCACTTACATATAACACCCAGTGCTCATCCTAACAAGTGTTCTTTTTAATACCCATCAACCATTTAGCCCATCCCCCACCCAATTCCCCTCCAGCCACTCTCAGTTTGTTCTTTTACCTATACAGTCCCTTATGGATTGCCTCCCTTTCTGTTTTTATCTTATTTTTCCTTTTTTTAATTATGTTCAGTTAGCCAACATATAGTACATAGTTTTTGATATAGTGTTCAATGATTCATTAGTTGTGTACAACACCCAGTGCTCATCACAACACGTGCCCTCCTTAATACCCATCACCCGGTTACCCCATTACCCCACTCCCCTCCCCCCTGTAACCCTAAGTTTGTTTCCCAGAGTCTGTAGTCTCTCATGGTTTATCTCCCTCTCTAATTTTTTCCATTCAGTTTTCCCTCCCTTCCCCTATGGTCCTCTGCACTATTCCTCATGTTCCACATATGAGTGAATCCATATGATAATTGTCTTTCTCTGCTTGACTTATTTCACTTAGCATAATACATTCTAGTTCCATCCACATTGTTGCAAATGGCAAGATTTCATTCTTTTTTATGGCTAATATTCCATTATAAATAAATAAATGTACACACACACACACACACACACACATATACACACTACTTTATCCATTCATCAATTGATGGACATTTGGGCTTTTTCCATAGTTTGGCTATTGTTAATAATGCTACTATCAACATCGGGGTTCATGTACCCCTTTGAATCTGTATTTTTGTATCCTTTGGGTAAATACCTAGTAGTGCAATTGCTGGATCATAAGGTAGTTCTATTTTTAATTTTTTGAGGAATTCCATACTGTTTTCCCATAGTAGTTGCACCTGTTTTTTTTATTATGTTATGTTAATCACTATAATTACATCATTAGTTTTTGATGTAGTGTTCCATGATTCATTGTTTGCATATAACACCCAGTGCTCCTCTTTTTATTCCCACCAACAGTGTAAGAGGGTTCCCCTTTCTCCACCTCTTTGCCAACACCTGTTCTTTCTTGTGTTAATTTTAGCCATTCTGACAGGTGTGAGGTGATAGCTCATTATAGTTTTGATTTGTATTTCCCTGATGGTGAGTGACATTGAGCATTCATATGTTTTCTTTCCACAGTAGAATGCAAATTCTTTGAGAATAAGAATCCTGTCTTATTCATCACTGTATCTCGAATATCATCCACATGCTTAAGCAAAAAGCAGTATTCAGTTAATGCTTGTTGGATTAATGGATTAAGTTTTCCCCACCTGTACTGTTCTCTTTTATAGGTTTTTACTTACATTAAGAAGGAAATGGGATTGAATTCATGACTGTAGTGTCCTATCAGGTATAAGAGATATTTAGCTAGAAGGAGAAAAAAACAAAACATTCTACTGCTGTAGCCATTGCATTAAGCACATGATTTGATGGATGTGGGGAAAGGTCTGTTTCCTCAATTCATGGGCATTCACATTCCAAATAATTTCTTAAATCTTAATGCAGAAATTTAAATAACTAAAAATAAGGGGTGGGTGGTGTAAAAACAGAACTGAATTGAATATCCTATTTCTTTTTGAAATTGAAATGTTATAATGTTTGTAGATAGATAGTTAAGGCAATGTTCTGACTATAAGTTCAGTTGGCTTTCATTGTGATTTTCCTTCTGTTAGTGAAGGACTTCAGAAATAAAACCTAATCCTAATTAAATAATACATGATTAAGGATTCTTTACGTATAAACTGCCAGATGTTTAAAAAGGTTAATATTCCCTCAATAAGGAAAACATTAAGTTCTAAAAGGTCATTTAGATTGTTTTCCTGGCAGGTTGTTTATAGATATTCTTCACCTGTTAATATTATTATTGATAATCATTTTCTGATTATGAATAAACACTTTATGCTGTCTGTATTTATTCATGTTAACATTTACTTAGTAAAATGTTTCTTACAGGAATATAAATAGGAAAGAATGCTGGCAACTTCAAAGCAAAATGAAGTTCTTCCTATTGCTTTCAGTCTTTGGGATCTGCTGGGCTCAGTATGCCCCAAACACCAAATCTGGACGGACATCTATTGTCCATCTGTTTGAGTGGCGCTGGAATGACATTGCTCTTGAATGTGAGCAATACCTAGCTCCAAAAGGATTTGGAGGGGTTCAGGTGGGTATTGTTCATAGTATAAACTGCAGTTTTCTATGCTTATAGTAAAGGGTATTGTGATCTGTATCTGTGAAGCTGGAACATTTTACTGAGGAAGAAAAAAGTTTAGTATTGTTGGCAACTTTATGTTTTGTTTCTGATATAATCTTCTTTCAGCAGGACATTTCCAATATGCTGTTAATATTTTCATGTGGTTGTTAAAAATGTAAGTGTATATGCAAAGATTCAGAAATTATTTTAGATTATTGATTAGTTTTGAGAGTATCCAATGATGTAAAGTAACCCATAATTTGATACTTATTATGATTTTTTATTTGTAGATCTCTCCACCCAGTGAAAATGTTGTGATTCATAACCCTTCAAGACCTTGGTGGGAAAGATACCAACCAATTAGCTACAAGATATGCACAAGATCAGGAAATGAAGATGAATTCAAAGACATGGTGACTAGATGTAACAATGTTGGTGTAAGTGAATTAAAAGTTTCCTTTAAAAATATTTAAAAAAATAATTTCTCTCTCCTCTCTCCTGTTCCTTTTGAGCAGAAATTTTTCCATATTTATTTTTTATTTTACTTTATACTTAAGCTATAGCTAAAAATTATTACCTATGTTCAGCTTTTGTAAATTTTTGTATACGTGCTCTTTGTCTACTAAAGAAATTTAAGTCAAGGTTTAAAGTTGAACTTACTTATAAAGCAAGTATCAACTTTTAGCCCTATAACTATACACGTTTTCTGGGGAATCCCATACACATTTGTGGGGAATTGGAAATTCCAGTTGCAATATTGCTGTAATTTTTATGTAACTTGTATTTTTACCTATAATTTCTGGGTCTTCTTTCCCATGGGGTTTTTGATGGTAAATAATTATATTCTTTTTGACGAGGAGCATGAGAGACAGTATTTACCTTCAGATGCTTAGTAGATAATAGAGGCTAGCTGCTTCTTTCTTAGGATGATGCATGGAAATTTCAAAGACCACTACTCTCTCCTGTCTCAGCTGATTCTTACCTCCCCACCCCAAAAAGGCTGTTTGCAATTTTTCATAGTTATGGTAGTTTTAGTTCTATCAGTTTATCATATATGTAGGTATTTTACCAAGACGGTAGAATGCAGATTGGTATTCAGTTCACAATGATTTCCCTTCACGCTTGACTTTTGGTTTGCTAAGAAGATAAGCTAAAAAATAACAAAGACCTATTTTGGAGTGTGATTAACATACCATAAACTTTAGTTAATAATACTATAGATTTCTACCTCTCTGTAAGTCAAACTGAAATAGAAACTTTGTTTTTCAGGTCCATATTTATGTGGATGCTGTAATTAATCATATGTGTGGGAATAGTGTGAGTGCGGGAACCAGCAGTACTTGTGGAAGTTACTTCAACCCTGGAAATAGAAATTTTCCAGCAGTCCCATTCTCTGGTTGGGATTTTAATGATCGTAAATGTAAAAGTAAAAGTGGAGACATTGAGAGCTATAATGATCCTTATCAGGTAATTAAAGAAAAAAAACCACAGTGATCTGAATAAAGAGATATCTGTTCCTTTAATTATCTACATGTAGTTTATTGATCTTCATTTTATTTATTTTTTTTAAAGATTTTATTTATTTATTTGACAGAGACACAGTGAGAGAGGAAACACAAGCAGGGGGAGTGGGAGAGAGAGAAGCAGGCTTCCCGCTGAGCAGGGAGCCTGATGCTATGTGGGGCTGCATCCCAGGACCCTGGAATCATAACCTGAGCCAGAAGGCAGACGCTTAACTGACTGAGCCACCCGGGCACCCCGATCTTCATTTTAAATACTGGCCTGGATTCCTAAGGAAAATAGGATTCCAACTGTGACTATTTAAAAATAAGAAACGCAAATCAATATTTAAAACATTTTTCCCAGTTTAATTTGTTCCAGTCAGAAAAGCTCATCTACTTTATTTTTTACATACTCCATTTTTATACTAGAAAATATTTCCGAGGTATGTCCATACTAGAATGTCAGTATTTCCAGTTCCCAATGCAAAGAAGACACTACAGAAATATCTGTTAATGAATAGATGAATGCATAATCAAATGGATTCTCAGGTAAAGGCAATGTTTTGTGTATCAATCACAAATTTTTTACCGCAATAGGTCAGAGACTGTCGTCTGGTTGGTCTTCTTGATCTTGCACTGGAGAAAGATTATGTGCGTTCCAGGGTTGCTGAATATCTGAACCGCCTCATTGACATTGGTGTAGCAGGGTTCAGAATTGATGCTTCTAAACACATGTGGCCTGGAGACATAAAGGCAGTTTTGGATAAACTGCATAATCTAAATACAAGGTGGTTCTCTGAAGGAAGTAAACCTTTCATTTACCAGGAGGTACATTAATCCATATATGTATCTATATTTCATGAGTATATGAAATAATATCATATAATTCATTAGAAAATAAGTGATAGATTTAATTAAAACAATTTCTGTTGTTTAAGGGTTGAATAAATCATTTATATAGAAGAGTTTTCATGAACCCTCTTTTGTTGAGACAGTATCTAACATCTAACTCTTTATCACAAGAGATTTTATGGAAGTGCAGAGGATTTATTTAGGCTGCAAACATCTGTGTCATTTGCCATCTCCCCAAGACAGATAATATTATAGTGGTTTTCTTGACCCAGTCGTCTATCTGAGTTTAAATCTTGGCTATAGCACTATTAGCTGTGTCACACAGGCAAACTGATTTCTTTTTTTTTTTTTTGAAGATTTTATTTATTTATTTGAGAGACAGAGAATGAGAGAGAGAGAGCACATGAGAGGGGGGAGGGTCAGAGGGCGAAGCAGACTCCCTGCTGAGCAGAGAGCCCGATGTGGGACTCAGTCCAGGGACTCCAGGATCATGACCTGAGCCGAAGGCAGTCGCTTAACCAACTGAGCCACCCAGGCGCCAACACAGGCAAACTGATTAACCTCTATATGCAACATTTTTTTTCATATGAAGATAAAGGATGATGATAATAGTTATGTCTTTGTCTAAATATTTATAAGTTGATATTTGTCAAGCACTTAGAAATGTTGTGAACCAGATATCAAGTGCTATAGAAATGCAAGCCATTGTTATTATCATTTATGTGCAAGACTAAAGTTAGCTCAACATTCTTGCAGGACAACAGATCACCTTGTTATCGTGTTATTTTTAATATTGTAGCATATAATTTAGCACAAAAAAAGAATCTTGCTTTAAGGAAAACCATTTGAGGTATTTCAAATAATATAAATAGTTTCAAGCCATTTTCTGTATAATGTTAACTTGCTGGTTAAAAGCCTCTGAAGTTCTTATTTAAAATTATATTTTCCCTATATTTCTACTAGGTAATTGATCTGGGCGGTGAGCCAATTAAAAGCAAGGAATACTTTGGAAATGGCCGTGTGACAGAATTCAAGTATGGTGCAAAACTAGGCACGGTTCTGCGCAAGTGGAATGGAGAGAAGATGGCTTACTTAAAGTAAATGAAATATGATTTGTCTTTTAAATTATTTCACAGATGTATTCGTCTTATTATCCCAATCTGAGTTATCTTAGGAACTTATTTAAAGCTTTTAAGGATTCAGTTACTGGTAGTAAGGGTTATAGTCTTTCAAGTTCCAATTTATCATCTTTATTATTAAGAATGTCAATCATGAGGATATTGAGAAACCCAAAACACACTCTAGAGACTTTATGTATTATATAACTATACTAGATTTGACTAATGTTTGTATATAATATGTGAAGACCACATATTATTAAAATGATTATATCATTTATGAAGTACTTACAACATGGTTATTTTTTATTTACTTATATTTATTTACATATTTTACGTCAAATATTTACATAATATTAACTTTTTTCAAATATTAGAATATTCATAATATAACAATACAAGATTGAAACCTACTTTTAACCCAGTTTTCCATTCTGTATGATATCATATGGATATTAATCATTCTGAAGTTTCATCTAAATTATAATGTACTGAAATCTCTAAAATGACTTTTTTATAACAAAAATCGTATAACTGTAACATGAATGTAATACAAGTAATTCATACATATATACATACAAGGAATGTATATCTATATATAGTTTGTATATATTTTTTAAAAACTCCTAGAGAATAATCATTTTAATTAGAGAATTTCATTTAGGCCTGCCATACCAAAAGAAATACACCTTTAGTTTACCCTAAAGCTATTGCAAAAGAATACATATGTTTGTGTGTGTATATGTGTTTTAATAGGAACTGGGGAGAAGGATGGGGTTTCATGCCTTCTGATAGAGCACTTGTCTTTGTGGATAACCATGACAGTCAGCGAGGACATGGAGCTGGAGGAGCATCTATTCTTACATTCTGGGACTCTAGGTAGGAAATAAAGTCCCCCCCTTTTTTTTTACCTACTTTTTAATGATGCTAAAAATACTGTTTTCTTATCTGCTGATATCATTTTGTAACCTTCAGACTGTACAAAATGGGAGTTGGATTTATGCTTGCTCATCCATATGGATTTACACGAGTAATGTCAAGCTTCCGTTGGCCAAGATATTTTGTAAATGGACGAGTAAGTTTTGGTATTATCAAAATATCTTTTTCTCAAGAAAGGGAAGGCAGTTTTGTTGTGATTGTGCATGATGCTATTATATTTACTATTTATCAAATATTGAAGTGTAAACCTGATATAGGACACTTTTAGTAAAGCAATAGATATTAAGAATTAAAATTCATGGTCTCTATTGTCAGAGTATGCAAGCTATATCAGAAATATGACAAACACACCTTCACCCCAAAGAAGCACTTAGAAATAAGGATATAGTAAGTAAAATATGTACTTTTCGTAAGTGCCTACTTCATGGGGTTGATATAAGGAGAAGTTAACAGTTGTAAAGAACTTAAAATAGCACCTGCCCATAATATGAACAATATATTTTTTAAATATTTTGGAAAAGAAGTTGTATGGAATGCAAAGAAATTATTCAGTTGAACTGGGGTTAAATAGGGAAAGTATCTTATAAGTGGAAGGAAAATATATGTATTAAAGAAGAGAAACTTGCAGACTATTTTGGGAAAGGGAAAGATAAGAAAAATATTTGGGGTAATGTATGGGATATTGAGTAGCAGTTTTAAAAAGAAACTGAGAAATAAAATTATGAATGTATTTGCAAAGTTAGTGGAAAGTTTTTTTTTTTTTAAACTGAAGATTTCAGATAATCATTATACAGCAACTTCATACCTAAAGTAAAAAACACTTCACTACAAACCAGGCTGATATTTACCTGGTTTCTTCCTTTTTTTTTTTTTTTTTTATGACTATTGTTAAAAGTGCCGATCAGAAAAGCTCAAAATTAAAACTTTGATCAATTTGGTAAAGAATATTGTGATGTATTGATTAGCACATTTATCCAGAAGGAAGAATGAGAGAAATGAATGCTTATTTAGAAATGAATGCAATTATCATACTCAAGGCATTTTCACATACATTATTTAATTTTTATAGCAACTAAACAATATCCCCATTTTACAGAAGAAGAAACTTAGGCACAGAGAAGATATGTATATTAACTGTTTTCTTAAGTCATAGTAATACAATCTTTGTTTCCATTCTGCTGTTGCTGACACTGAAGTCCTTGCCATTTCAATATCATTGCACTACTGACAGTGATATTAAGAATTCCATGGCAATTCCTTGGAAAGAAAATGAAAGGGCAAAAAAATCTTACCTTCAAAATATGGCACTAGAGAATGAAAAATTGGGGAGAAAATGGTGAGGACTTGGTAAAAGGCTTTAAAAATACTGAGGGAGTTAGATTCTACATAAAGACAATGTAGAGACACAAGACAGACTGGGTTTGGTGTACTGGAGAGGAAAGAGACAAATACATGAAATGTTAAAAATCGGAGCTTTTTCAGTTTTTTTCTTTTTTTCTCTTTACTTAAGGATGTTAATGATTGGATTGGGCCACCAAATGATAATGGGGTAATTAAAGAAGTTACTGTTAATCCAGACACTACTTGTGGTAATGATTGGGTCTGTGAACATCGATGGCGTCAAATAAGGTGGACATTCTTATTTAGAGACATCCTCTAATAACATTCTTAACATTTTATTTTAAACTGTTAATGTATTCATCAGCATTTTATGTGGTATTTTATTTTTAGGAACATGGTTATGTTCCGTAATGTAGTTGATGGCCAACCTTTTACAAACTGGTGGGATAATGGTAGCAACCAAGTAGCTTTTGGAAGAGGAAACAGAGGATTCATTGTCTTTAACAATGATGACTGGTAAGTAGATATCAATTAGAGATAACATTTTATACTAATATATTCTTGGTTTACTATTTTCGTGCACATTTACTTTTTTTGTATCGGAAAAATCCTTTAGTCAGTGGATTAAGAAACCACAGAAATCAGAAAAAAATGATGATGGCTTTTATTCTTCTGATCTCTTCTTTATAAGGGCTTTCTGTTCTAGATAGAATTATGTTATATGCATTCTTGCATTTCATGTACAGGTATGAGGCACACACATAAGCTCACACATACACCCCACACAAAATACACAAAGTAGTTAATATAAAGGTTGTGAAATCACTAGAAGAATTGTCTTATAGCCACCCTTCCCTTTTTAAATAATGGAAAAATATTGCCTCAATATTGAAGTACATCTTTTTAGCTCTTTTTTTGTTAAGTATTCTTGTATCTGTTTTGTCTTCTTTTTTCACTTCCCTGTCTCTCTGATAAATAATATATATTTTTAAAGCATCTGTATAAAGAACTTGTATCTTATGGTTGGTCAGTGATTCACATCAGGAGATTTTCAAGTTTTAGTTCTGAGACTTCTTCTTACCTTCATTGGTTATACTTACATCCTCTGCTTCTAGTATATTGATTCCCTGATATATAGAACTATGACTTAGAAGATGTCTTTGAAAGCAGTTGAAATGTCTCTGTTCCAAGGCCAACTTTCACTCATGCTTAGCTCATTTTAGCCTACATTATATTTTACTGACAAAAAGATAAATCAAATATATCTCTTTCTTGCCAAAAGAAGCTATGGCTAATCCTTTAATTTCTGTCTTTTAGATGGGAGAAGCAAGATAAATTTAGGAGACAGCTTTATATTTAAAACCATATATCTCTTCCTAAAATGCTAGATTATTTTTATTTCCAGCCCAAATTCATTTTCTTCTCTTGTGAAAAAGATTTTTGCAGAAATAATCAAATTTAAATTACTGAAAATAATTAGTATTTCCTTACATTTAGATGGGGAAAATTTAAAATATTTATGTTTACCAAAGGAAGTACTTTTATCTAAGGGTGACAAGTCACTAAAATCTTTAGTGATATTCCTCAGCCATAATTTTGTGATAATACTCACTGCTGACTAGGAAATTGCTAAGTCTTCTGTAAGATTACTTTTAGTCCTGGAAAACTGTTCACATCTACTGGAGAGGTCTTTGGCACAAAGTTAAGCTTTTAGAGATAGTCTGAATTCTTGCTTTTTATTGTGCTGAATTCAAGTTAAATCTTAAATTTTATTTTACAGGACATTATCTTTAACTTTGCAAACTGGTCTTCCTGCTGGCACATATTGTGATGTTATTTCTGGAGATAAAATTAATGGCAACTGTACAGGAATTAAAATCTCTGTTTCTGGGGATGGAAGTGCTCATTTTTCCATTAGTAACTCTGCTGAAGATCCGTTTATTGCAATTCATGCTCAATCTAAATTATAAAATTTGAAATAAATAAATACACATACTCACAGAAATAACCAAGTGCATTTCTTTTCATGTGTGCATGTGTATGTGTGTGTATTCTTACAGTTCATTAATTTTTGGTAAAAGCTATAAGTGATCAACTTGAAAAAACTCAGAAAAGCATAAAAATCACATATAATTATATAATTATAAGATAGCTACAATTAACACTATATTATATTTTAGAAGACTCATGATGACTTGTCAAAGGAATGTTTAAGAATTCAGAGAGGCATCTTAACAAATATGTTTCTTGCCATTAACACCATTTCCCAGTATGCATTTATGTATCTCTTCCATCAAGTGTTTCTAATAATTAGTTAGGGATAGCTGATTTAATTATTCCCATACAAAGTTAGAGCATTTGAGTGACTTCAACTTATGAAAGCACTTTTACAATTAATAAGTTAAAAAATAAACTTGAATTATGCAAAGTGTAAGTCTCAAGTATGTGGAACTCAGGAATCTCCTACTTTATTTTTCTCTTTCTGTTTGTAATGTCTTTAACTTGATGTAGATGTATGGTTTTTTGGTTCCATTTCTTACCCCCCATATGGATGGATGTAACTATTTAGGACTTTTATTACACCATATGTTCTGGATTTTCTTCCTGATCCTCTAGCTATTTATTCTCCTTCACCTTGACTTTAAATGTGGAATTTGGTAAGGATCTCATCTATGTTTTATAAGTCTCAGTTGTTTTTCTTATGCTTGAGTGATAAAATAAAAGCCATAATTTGGAAACTCCCTCTTCTTTTCACCTGTAAATTTATCTGTAATTATTCTTATCCTTATTATTATTATTTTTATTATTATTATTTTGAGAGAGAGAGAGCAAGAGGGGTGGGGGAGAGGGAGAGAGAGAATCTTAAGCAGACTCCAAGCTCAGCATGGAGCCTCACGTGGGTTTTGATCTCACAACCCTGAAATCATGACCTGAGCCAAACAAGAGTCAGGTACCTAACAAACTGAGCCATGCAGGCACCCCATCCCTATTATTTTCTTCTTTCCTCCTGTAATAATGAAGAAAGTGTACATCATTTTACCAAAGGCCATTCTCCTCACTTGTGTTAATACCATTTCATTTTTATCTCATGGGGGATTTTATTTCTTAGATTACCCTTTCTTGAGGTGCCTGGGTGGCTCATTGGTTAAGCATGGGACTCTTGATTTCCACTCAGGTCATGATCTCAGGGTTGTGAGATCAAGACCTGTGTGTGCTCTGCAATGGGCATGGAGTCTGCTTAAGATTCTCTCTCTCTCCCTTTTCCTTTGCACTTGCCCCCCCCTTTTTCATGCTCCCTCTCAAAAAAAAAAAAAAGATTCTTTCTCTTCTGATTGAATAATCTTTCCCTTTCTGCTAGATTTGTCCCCTTAGATTACATGTATTAGTCTTCCAACTAAAAAATCCGTGACTCCCAGATTTTTTCTAGGTATAACCCACTTCTTTGCTTCCCTTCCTAGTCAAGCTTCTGTTTTTACCACATAGTCTCTACATCTTCAACATTAGTCATTTTCATCTCCTCATCATCCAGTTTCTAATCATGACTTCTCTGAATCTGCTCTTGTCAACATCATGAAAAACACTGTTACTAATCCAATGTGCTTCTCTATCTTCATTTTACTTCATTTTGCAACAGTATTCAACATGGTGAGCCAAACTCTCTTGTCCTCTCTTCCTTCAGCTTCTATCTACTTTCTGGTTTTCCTTCTTTCTCACTGGTTGCTTTTTTTCAGATTCTTTTTTTTTTTAATAGGCAAATTCTACCAAACATTTATTTATTTATTTATTTATTTATTTATTTATTTATTACCGTATCATTTTTTATTATTATGTTATATTAATCACCATACATTACACCATTAGTTTTTGATGTAGTGTTCCATGATTCATTGTTTGTGTATAACACCCAGTGCTCCATTCAGTACGTGCCCTCTTTAATACCCATCACCAGGCTAACCCATTCCCCCACCTCCTCCCCTCTAGAACCCTCAGTTTGTTTCTCAGAGTCCATAGTCTCTCATGGTTCGTCTCCCCCTCCGATTTTACTGGCTTATCTTCTGTTTGACCTAAAGACTCATTTGGATCTAATTCTCATCTTTTTTTTAATCCTCTATTTTCTAAGTATTTGCAATCTTTTCCATGGATTTAAAACGCAGACTTTTACATGAAGACCTATATCTCCAATGCAGATCTTTTCTTGGACTCTAGCTTCACATTTCCAACAGATGTTTGACTCCACTTCAAGATTTCACAGACATCTTATCCTTAATATATTCAAAATGCAACCTTCAATTTTTTTTCTTCAAGTCTTTTACTACTCCCTGATGCCCTGTCTCACCACTTACTTAGAAACCTAGGGTATCCCCCTGACCTTTCCCCTTCTCTCAACAATGCCCAATCCCCTCCCGTAAATTTTAGCATGACCTATTAAGTGTATCTTCAAATTATCTCTTGGTTCCTTGCCCTTCTGCTTCTTCTACTTGGAAGGTTTTTTTCTCAGCTCTTCTCCTAATAACTTCTATTCATCATTCAAATCTTAGCTCAAAGACCATTTCTACATGGACATTTACCCAGGATTATGTCAAGTCCTCCTATTATGTCATGACTTTCTGTAATTTTCTTTTTATCACTCATCATAGTACTATGGAACAATGTCTATTTTGTTCTTTATTGAATCCTTGAGTCAAGACCGTGTTTGGCACATATTAGGTAGGAGCTCAGTAATTATTTATAAAATAAATTGAGATAATGAAGGAGAAGAAAAAGTTTATCAGTTTTTGAGAAGGAGTGCTAGTGATTCTTCTTATTCCCTCTCCAGTTCTTCCCCAATTAAATGAATTCCTGTTTACTCTCATTTATTAGGTCATAAATGCCATGTAATTTCAATAGAAACAAAAATGTATTTTACAAAATTAAACATCTTTTCATAATAAAAACTCTCAATAATTAGGTATAAAAGGAATTCACCTCAACATAGTGAATCTCATATATGAACAAGTCCACAGCTAACATCATGCTCAATGGTGAAAATCTGAAAGCTTTTCCTCTAAAATCAAGAACAAGACAAGGATGTCCATTTTCACCACTTCTATTCAACATTCTACTAGAAGTCCTAGCCAGAGAAATTAGGCAAGATGTAAAAATAAAAGGCATCCAAGTCAGAAAATAAGTAAAATTTTCTGTGTGCAAATGACATGGTCATATATATGGCAACTCCTGACGACTCCACCAAAACCTGTTAGAATTAATAAATTTAGTAAGTTGCCAGATACAAAGTAAACATGCAAATATCAGTTGTATTTCAATACACTAACAATGAACTAGCAGAAGAAAAATTAAAAAAGCAATCTCATTTGTAATGTCATGCAAAACAAATAGGGTTAAATTTAACCACGGAGGTGAAAGATCTGTACACTGAAAACTGTAAAACATTGATGAAAGAAATTGAAGACACAAATAAATGGAAAAATACCCCATGTTCTTGGATTAGAAAAGAATGTTGTTACAATGTCCATACTACTGAAAGTGGTCTCTTGATTCAATACAATCCCCATCATAATTCCAATTATATTTTTTCAAGAAATAGAAAAAAATCCTAAAATTCATACAGAACCACAAAAGACTCCAAATAACTAAAGCAATCTTGAGAAAAACAAACAAAGCTGGAGGCATCACATTTTCTGATTTCAAGCTATACTACAAATGTATAGTAATCAAAATAGTATGGAACCAGCATAAATACACATACATAGACCAACGGAATAGAATACAGAGCCCAGAAATAAACCTATGTATATATAGTCCACTAATTTTTGACAGGAGTGCCAAGAACACACAATGGCGAAAGGATAGTCTCTTCCTGGTCGTGCTGTGAAAACTATATCCACGTGTAGAAGAATGAAACTGGACCCCATTCTTACAACACCCACAAAAATTAATTAGAAATGAATTAAAGACTGAAATGTAGGGGCATCTGGGTGGCTTAGTCCATGAAGCATCCACCTTCAGCTCAGGTCATGATCTCAGGGTCCTGGGATTGAGCCCCACATCAGGCTCCCTGCTCAGTGGGGAATCTGCTTCTCCCTCAGCTTCTGCCTCTGCTCCTCTCCCTGGTTGTGCTCACTCTCTCTCTCACTCTCTCTCCCTAAAATAAATAAAATCTTAAAAACAAAAAGACTTAACTGTAGAAGCTGAAACCATAAAACTCCTAGAAGAAAACAAAGTTTCATGACATTGGTCTTCGAATGATTTCATGGATATAACCCTAAAAGCGCAGACAAGAGAAAGTAGAAATAAAAAGTGAGACTACATCAAACTAAAAAGTTTCAGCATAGCAAGGGAAACAGTCAATAAAATAAAAAGACAACCTACAAAATGGGAGAAAATATTTGCAAGCCATATATCTGATAAGAGGTTACTATTCAAAATATATAAGGAACTCTTACAACTCAAAAGCAATAATAATAACAGTAATATCCTCTTTAAAAATGGGCTAAAGACCTAAGTAGACATTTTTCCAAAGAAGTCATACAAATGTCCCATAGGTTCATAAAAAGGTGTTCAACATCACCAATCATCAGAGAAGTGCAAAACAAAACCATGAGATGTCACTTTACACCTGTTAGGATGTCTATTATTGAAAAGATAACAAATGTTAGCAAGGTTAAAAGGGAACCATTGTACACTGCTGTTAGGAATGTAAATTGGTACAGCCATTATGGAAAACAGTATGGAGGTCCTCAAAAAATTAAAAATAGAACTACCATGTGACCCAGAAATCTCTGCTATATATCTGAAGGGTATGAAAACATTATTTTTTGGTTGATATGTGCCCTCCCATGTTCACTGCAGCATTATCCACAATAGTTAAGATATAGAAGCCATCTAAATGTCTGTCAACAGATAATGGTAAAGAAAAAAATGTATATGCAATGGAATATTATTTAACCATAAAAAGAAGAAAATTCTGTAATTTATGAGAACATGTATGGACCTGGAGGGCATTATGCTGAGTGAAATAAGCCAGGC